TGGCCTTAAGCAAGCACCTAAGCAATGGCATGAGAAGTTTGACACCACACTTACATCTGCTGGCTTTGTTGTGAACGAAGCTGACAAATGTGTGTACTATCGCTATGGTGAGGGAGAAGGAGTGATATTGTGTTTATATGTCGATGACATATTAATCTTTGGGACCAGCCTCAATGTGATTGAGGAGGTCAAGGACTTTCTGTCCAAGAGCTTTGAAATAAAGGATTTGGGAGAGGCTGATGTTATTCTTAACATTAAGCTACTGAGATGAGATGAGGGTGGGATTACACTTGTGCAATCCCACTATGTAGATAAGGTTTTGAGTCGCTTTGGCTACAGTGACTGTAAGCCAGCTCCTACTCCTTATGATCCCAGCGTGCTATTAAGGAAAAACCGAAGAATAGCAAGGGATCAACTGAGATACTCACAAATCATTGGTTCATTGATGTACTTGGCTAGTGCAACGAGGCCTGACATCTCATTTGCTGTAAGCAAGCTGAGCCGGTTTGTCTCAAATCCGGGAGATGATCATTGGCAGGCTCTGGAAAGAGTAATGCGCTATCTAAAGGGCACTATGAGCTATGGAATTCACTATACCGGTGTTAACGACCAAATTTGGTAAATCATGTATCGGATTTGGAGTTAAGACCGAAGCGGATTTGGAAGGAAATTGGTAAGAGAAACAGAGTATAAATCGGCTTCGGAACAGCATCGGCTACGGTGTATTAACTGATATCGAATCGGACAAGGAAGCCGATGTAGCCGATTCCGACAAGGGGATGTTGGAACCATTGTCGGGTTCGTTTAAGGTGCTTCATGAGGATTGCCACATGCGGATTGAGTCCGAAGAAGGCAATTGTATCTATTAATTAGGAATAGTTTGTTAGTTTCCTTTTATCTTTAAGAAAGTATGTTTAGTGTCCGATAAGGACTTTATGTTTCTGTTTTATCTTTTAGAAAGTTTGTTTCTTGTCTGACAAGGACTCCATAGACCCAAGGGTATAAATTGTGTACCAGGGGTCCCTGTAATCAATCAATCTCGATCAATACAACTACTCTCGGCGCATCGCCACCCTCTTTCCTGAGGTTTTTACTTATCAACCGGCGGAATTTGGCACCTGACGCAGGGCTGCATCAGCTTTCGATCTCCGGCGAAGGGGTAAGTCCTACGTTCCGCCGGCTCTGGTGAATCTGTCGACTACATTTGTGTTGTTCAAGGCTGCATCACTTCGATCTCTTGGATCGCTCTGGTTTGGTTGATATATTTGCCTACCTGATATCTCAATTCTATCTCCAATTGCATTGTGTTTAGAGACGCATCGGTTTAGTTGGAACTGTCTCGGTTAGGTCCGATCTTCGGTCTTAGCCGATATATCTCTACAATCACAATGTTGTTCTAAATAGATTTGCTATATCCATCACATTAGACAGATCTATCGGCTCATCGAGTATTAGATTATCATATACAATCTCGTGCTGCATCGGTTAGGTTCGACCTACTAGATTGTTGTTGATAATATAAGTCTTGCTAAGCCGATAGGTTCATGCTAATGTTTTATCGGGGTGCTAGCCGATAAGTTATCTGGACGTTGCATCGGTTTATAAGGATTGCATATACATATAAGTTGGATATAGCCGATGGCAACAAAGGTTTCACTGCTTAATCTAATCTATGGATTTTATGACATCGGACCTTCAGCAGATGTATGCTTTAACCTTCGGATCAATGCTTATTCTATCATATTGTATTGCTAGCCGATTGGTTTATACTGGATTATATTGTTATTTTATTACATCATCATCAGCCGATTGCCTTTATATCATTATCTACATTGGACATATAGCCGATTGCTTAAACCCTATCACTATCGGTTGATATCGGCATCGGCTATTATCGGCATCGGCTGGAACTACTCCATGGGCTTGTCAGCCGATCGGCTGTTTTATCTACTGTTTACATATATTGTCAGTTGCAGGATCAAACTGACTGGCACGCCCGCATCTCATCAACCTTTGGACCTGCACTAGAGCTAAGCAGATCTCCCAGGCCAGTGAGTGTGTTTTGCATCAACAACCGGGTACCCAAAAGTACTGGAAGGGTATAGTGACTCAAACTGGATATCTGGTGCTGATGAGATAAAGACCACAAGTGGATATGTGTTCACACTTGGAGGTGGCGCTGTTTCCTGGAAGTCTTGCAAGCAGACCATCTTAACGAGGTCAACAATGGAAGCAGAGCTTACAACACCAGATACTGCGACAGTTGAGGCCGAGTGGCTTCGTGAACTCCTGATGGATTTGCCGGTAGTTGAAAAACCAGTGCCAGCTATCCTAATGAACTGTGATAATCAAACAGTGATTATTAAAGTGAACAGTTCAAAGGACAACATGAAGTCATCTAGGCATATCAAAAGAAGACTGAAATCTGTCAGAAAGCAGAAAAACTCCGGAGTAATAGCATTGGACTATGTCCAAACGGCTAAAAATCTGGCAGATCAGTTTACCAAGGGGCTACCACGTAATGTGATAGACAGTGCATCAAGAGAAATGGGCTTGATACCCACCTAAGGTTGCACAATAGTGGAAACCTATCCATTGTGATCGGAGATCCCGTGAATTTGGATGGCGAAACAAACTATTGTGTGGCTGAGAGAAGAGACCATTGAAAAGAGCTCATTTTCATGATGTACTTCTCTTCTATTCTGCATGGTGGGATGGCTTATGCCTTAATGCGATTCAAGTGGCTTTTCTAAGCAGAGATGTTGACCTGCAGAACATCTCAGAAGGAACACACCTATATGAGTTCGACTGCTAGTCACAGTATATGAGATTTGGGCGATCTCTAGATACTCATAAAAGGGCCTGGAGTTTGACTTATATGCTCCAAACAGAGGGGATGCAAACGGCAGCCCAGTACCAGTCAAGGGTTTGAGTGAAACCTGATCAGACAAGAATGACAATTCAAGGCATAGTCCATTGTTCAGTTGTGGTCTGATGTAGCTCTTTTCCTAGGTGGAAGTTCAACTTAACAGTCTCCACCAAAACACTGGTATATCAAACAGGTTCAACTTCGAGAACATTTCTTATGAGCCATAAAATTTGGTGGGGATTGTTAGAATAAATGGGCTAGGCCCGATTTTTCTATTAAAATCTCAAGGGCCCATAATAAATGTTAAAGATAATAATACCACCCTGGGAATTAAAAGTGGAGAACCTCAACTTAAATAGGGAGTTATTGGAGGTTCCATGTTGACCGGTTGAGGTGGGGATCGGAAAGTCACACGCGCGCGCGCCGAGCCGGGCCGAGGCCGTGGGCGTGGCGTGGCGTGCGTCGCGTCCACGTCTCGAGATTCTTTTGCAACGGTTCAGAATTCGCGAGATTACCTCTGTAACGGGCAGGCGATTCAATACACATTGATCGTGTCGTTACTGCGGCAACGGGTGGATTCCTCTCCTGGATTTTCTCTCCCCTCCTCTTCCTCAACGGTGGCGAATGGAAATGACGACGGCAACCGCAGTGGATGGCGATGGTGGCGTCGGCGAATGGCAACGACGACGGCAAGTCGGCAACCGCAGCCCAAGGAGGCATAGGCGGAGACGGCAGAGGCCGCCAAAATCAACGCCGCGCCGCCCGAATCCGGTGGGGACGGAGGCAACGGAGGTCGGACGGAGCCGGATCCAGACGACGATAATGGCAACCTCAGGGACGACGACAGTGGATGGCGACGGTGCAGACGACGGCGACAGCGGCTGGCGACCTCGACGACGATGGTGGCACTCCGGCGTGGGTTCAAGATGCTCGCCATCGTGCTCTCTGCTGCCGGTCCGCACTTCTGCGCCGCATCGAGCTCGGCTCCCCAAGAACCCCACCACAGCCTCTTCCTCGCCGGGCGCCCGCGGCCTAGCGCTCGCGGCCAAGGGGCTCCGCCGCACCATCCTGGAGATGCAGGCGACGCATGGAAGCCGGTGCTCGCGGCAGTGCACGACGCCTGCGTCGAGGTCTTGGCCGCATGCGCCATCCGAGCCGAAGGAGAGAGGGGGGAGGGGGGAGGAATCTGTGTGGGGCCTACGGTTGGCCAATGATTTCTGGTTGTCCAAATTTGGCTAGTGTAGGGGGGTTTTGGCCAGCCGGATGGCTTAGTCATCCAGTTGGAGAGGCTATTGGAGCACGTTTTTGGGCTAGAATGGCTAAAATTTGGCTTGAAGAGTGGGATGGAGAAACTGTTGGAGATGCTCTTAGAGACGACCATCTCCTATCCGACTGCGTCAAACCCAACCAAACACATTCTTTTCAACAAAAACACAGCCTTAATAGAAGCGTGTGTTTTTTTGCTAAACATGTAAAAGAAGGGGAAAGAACCGAACACGCGCACATTTTTCAAACTGCTAAACGATGTTTTTTTTTGCAAAAGTTTTATATACGAAAGTTGCTTTGAAAATCATATTAATCTAACTTTTTAAAATTTTGTAGCTAATTCTTAATTAATTATACGCTAATGAATCACTTTATTTTGCGTGCGTGTAGGATTTGTTCCCAAACACCACATGGCGAATGCAGCGTAAGTGTCGTTGATTTTTCAGGTGATTCTTGAAAACTAAGCTCATGATATTTACTTGATTTCTCATATATCATTGGGTTTGTTTCTATCTTTCTCGCTTGTCTAACGATTTTCGTTAGTCTATCAATAGTTAGACATTTGTTTTAGGGATCTGAAATGACCTTATTGCATTTGGCATATAACTAAAAGTTAAAAATTTTCTACATAAAAACTACTATTTGGGTTGTGAAAACTTAGGATGATAGGATCAGATAAAAAATAACGGATTTTATATAGTTTAGGGTGAAAAATGGGATGGAAAAAAACTTCAAAGTGTCCGAAAATGTACTCGAGCTGTTCAGCCTCAGCCCACAAAATGCGCTCCATAGAAGGCCCATTTAAGCCCACGTTTCTCTTGTCCTCAACCCCAAAACCCTCACCCCACAACTCCGCCGGAGCGCCGGCGCTACCGTCTTCTCGAGGAGGAAGAAGAAGAAGAAGAAGAAGAAGAGAGAGAGAGAGGAGAACACCTGAAACCCTAACCCTAGCGAGGCAAGAGGGGAGGGGATGGCGAAGAAGCTCGGGAAGAAGGCGCGCAAGTTCGCGCGCAAGCACCTCCAGTCCGCCGCCAAGCGTAACCGCAAGCAGCGCTCGCAGTTCGCCCGCCGCCCTCGCAGAGGTTCGTGCTCCCCCGTCGTCTCCTGCTCCTCCCTCTTCTCCGGGTGGTTTGGTTCCGTACGGCTCCAGTCCACGGGGGCTCTTCTGTTGGTAGCTCATATGCTCTTCTTTTCCTCAGGTGGGAGCGGTCGCGGGAACGAGCGCGATGGCGATGGCGATGACGAGATGCCGCAGCGAGCAATCGATAACGTCATGTAATCATCTTTCACCTCTCCTTACGGTTTTGTTTATTTTGGTAGGCTTATCAGGATGCTTTCCAACATACAATAGGGTGAAAACTAGAAGGGGAGGGTGCAATGCTTTGCTAGGTTCACACATTTGATAGTGTCGGTTTGTTTTTTTGGATGGAATTGATCTGGTCTGAATTGTACTAGATATTGAGACTGACCAGAACTTTGCTTGCAACTCAAATGATGCAATAGACTAACCTCAATTCAACTTCATAACTTTACAACTTCATTAATCATGATAATACTGCACAATAGTTCATTTAGTGTTTCTTTTATTTAATTTACTAAATAAATTCGAAATTCTTTTCCTCTAGGAACAACGGTGATGCTGCAGCTTTGGTTAATGGCCTAGAGTTCCCGGAAGATGAATGTGAATTAAACAGTGATCTGTCTGATAGTGATGGTTATCTTTCAGAGGTATGTCTGCTTATCCTTTTCAGAGGATCTTATTCATTGATCCACAACCAGCATTCATTCCATCATAAAGAATCATGCTTTTTTTTTAAAAAATGTTCACAACTGTCCATATTTACAGTATTGTGATGCCTTCCATGTATTGTGCTCAAGCATATAACAAATTTGTATTTGTCCAAGCTTGAGCTTGGTCCACATATATCAAGCCTTTTTCTTAATTCCATCCTATTGACAAGGGCATAGGCATTATTCCTTTTTATTCTTGTTGATAAACTTTCTTCACAAATCTGCTTATTTCTGTGCAAAATCCAAGTAGGAGACTGTAGTATCTGTTGGCAAGAGATGAACAGTTTTTTGGTATGTTAGTACATTATATATCAAGTATGATGGTTGGCTATCATTAGCTCATCACTATAGCAGCCGTAGTCACCATGGCTCAGTTCTTGCCAATAGTGTGTCATCAAGGCTCCCAAAACCTCTATAGCATGCTTTGGATAAGTTTGCTGTTTCCAACCAGTGACATTATCTATTGTCTGTTATATTGCCCCTGAATTGCTCGTTGTGCAGGACTCTGAATGTCTATATTATTCTGACAGTGAGGATGGCAATGCTGTCAATGGTTAGTGTTTGATGATGCAAAACTTAATTCAGTTTTATGCTGCTCTAGTATATCCAATTATCTCAATATTTTGTGCAGATTGTTTTGTCCAAGATGGTTTAGATGGCGAGAATGATAAGATGAATACAGAGATAAAAAAACAAAAGAAGAAGTTGAACAAGTTGATGGACAAGGTGAAAATTGCCTCTCTAGATTTGGCCATGCGTGCTTACTAGTATATATATTTGTTATTTACCACAATTTTAGGTTTATCTGCCTTTTGACATCTTGCACTTGGTTGCTGATTTACAGTTCTATAGTTGTGTGTGCATCACTTTATTCTTATTGAATGTAAACACAGCAATGTTTTATTCTGAATTACATTGGTTATACATCCAGTTATGTAGCTCAAGTACTAGACATTCATTTGATTGATCACGTCCTCCATGAGCAGATGATGTGTTCGTGCTTTTAATAGTCGCATTTTCTGGAATTTTAGGGCCTTACTGTATATTTCTTTGGGTATTTTGTGTTCAGATTGTCAGAATTAATTTTGTTTGTAGGACCCTGAGTTTGTAAACTACCTTGAAAAATGGCAATCAGAGTTGAAGAGTGATGGAAGTAAAGAGGTAAGATTGTCTAATTGGTTGTTCGTGCCTGAGCCGCTGCAATTCAGATTACACCTTTTTTTATATATAATTTACTTTCCATGTGAACAAATCTTGCCAAATAAAATTTGTTTTTTATGCTTCATTTTCAAACTTCAATAGGATTCTGATGAAGATGAGATGGACTCTGTGGATAATGATGCTGACTCCAGTGATGAAAATCTTTCAAATGATAAGATACTGACAAGGAAGACTATAAGTGAATGGTGCCAGTTAGTTGCAAAGGAACCTAAAGCACCTTCTCTACGCAGCCTATTAAATGCTTACCGGGATGCTTGTCGATTTGGTGTTTCCAAGAGCCCTTCTGTGCAGAGAATTCAAAGTACTGAAGTGTTTCATCAGATAATAACATTTGTCCTTTCCGAAGCAGACAACATTTTCCATGCTCTCTTAGAAATTTCGGATGATGTAAACAAAGGGAAAATTATGAATCTGAGAAGTGCAAAGAAATGGAAAACTATTGAACCACTCGTAAAGTCTTACTTGCAGAATTCTCTTGATCTGCTTAGTCAACTTACTGACAACCAAATACTTGCATTTGTCTTGACTCGACTGAGAGCATCCGCAGTTCTTTTTTCTGCATATCCATCAACATCAAGGAGGCTCCTCAAGGTATTTCTGTCTGTTGGTGATGCTGCTTGTTAATACTTAACTTGATTTTGTGTGTTCTCTTGTACCCAAGGGTATTCATGTTTGAAAGCTATTCTAGTCAACTATACCTTATCTTTTGGTGAAAATTAAATTTGTTCTCTTTACATTGTAACCATTTGAGAAATATCTGCTATTCCAGCACTTGTTTGACTGCTATGCTGTAGAGATGAGGAGAAATGATGGTTCTATTCGCTGGTGCCTTGTTATATGGACATTGTGTTTGTATGATAGCTGCATGCTTTTACTTAACTCATTTAAGCCATCTATATCTGTTAATGCTTTTGCCAGCTTCAAAACAGTATGCTGTTCCAAAAATCTAGTGTAATTGACCATTAATGCTTCTTCCATAGCTCCTTTTTAACCATTTTAGGTCCAGTACACTTCCTATTGGTCCTGATGTGTCAGAATTGTTGCGGTATCAGTATCTTATATTGTGCTGACATACATTTGTTGTTCAGTTACCCTATGACTATCTGAAAATAGGTTCTATAATATATCTGCTGTGTCAAATTCTTTTCTTATTAGTTGACATTAGCTCATGGTATATTGTTAAAACTTTGCAGATCTTAATTCGTTTGTGGGCCAGTGGAGATCATAACTTGTCTCTGTCCTCATTTCTTATGATACGGGAAGTGGCTTCGCTGTTACCAGAATGTTTGGATCTCTGCTTAAATAAATCTTATAATACATACCTTGCTAGTTCCAAGCTTGTGAATGAAGGAAATATAAAGCACATTGATTTTTTAATGGACTGTCTAGTGGAGCTCTATTCTCTTGATGTTCAGAAATCATGTGAGAGGGCAACTACCTCTATAGGACAACTGAATTCTATTCTCAGGCAGGCTTGTAAAACAAAAGAAAAGGTATATACTGCTGCTTAATTCTAGTGTTGTGTTTGCACTTCTATTGTATCCTACCTAGAAAATCCTCAGGTCTCTTTTTATTTGTTGGTCTGGATCCAGGCCTGAAAATGGTACCTAAACACCAGTTTCATTAAAATGCCCTTCATTCAAACATTCTGGTTTGTATATTTTTTTCCCTGTCTGAAGACTGAAGTGAGTAAAGTCAAAGGAAATCCTGAGGCATATATGTTATGTTGTTGATTAGTTCCTTCTTGCACTGTGAACGTTGAATTCACAAAGTGCAGTCAATCAGTTATCACCACATCTTTTTTACAATTTAGAATTTATGACATGCCAATTACATTTTCTTGCTAGGTTGCTATGAATAGAAAAGTTCTTTCTGTACAGTCATACAAGAAAAAACTTCTTGCTGATATACATGCCCTTTTCACATCTTTAAAAGAAAAGGATAGGATATCTGCTCTTGTACATTAAACGCCTTGCTTTCTTTTTTGCTTTGTTGGCACCACATGGATATTTACATGCAATCTCGACTGTTGTTGCAGGAAGACCTCAGGAAGGTAGATAACTGGCAATATATTAACTGTGTAAACCTATGGGTTAGGTTTCTTTGTTGTAACTACAAGGACTACAATATGCATCCATTACTTTCTTCAGTTGTTCAAATAATAAGAGGAGTGGCTCACTTATTCCCAGGCACACGTTACTTACCATTGAGACTGAGGCTTGTGCAGATGCTGAATGAGCTTTCTAGTTGCAGTCAGATGTTCTTTCCAATTCCATCTTTGTTATTTGATTGCCTAGAATTTAGAGATACCTCTCAGAAAGAACAAGGAAAAAAAGCAAAGGTCAACTTTTCATCACTATTGAAGGTATGCCACTTTACTGGGCACATTTTGCGATGATAATGTGTGGATGTTATGTGATCTTTCATGCCTTTCTAAAGCCACTAAAATGACTCGTTATCATTCTACCAGGCCACTTGCCTTAACTCAGTAAGATAAACTTATTATAAGACTAGTGTCATTAGTGGCCCTTTTAGCATTCAAGAATGATCTTTTTCAATGCATGGGTAACCTGTAAACTCACCCTTTTCTTAGTTATATTTCTTGATTGGTTCTTTTAACTTGCTTTACAATAATACAGTTTTTTTTAAGTTCTGTATTTTTATCATTTGATTCATCACCTGAAAATGGTTTTGATTAACTGTTGTTTGCTTTGTTTAGGTGCCAAAGAATATGCTGAAGTCAAGAGACTTCCACGAGGAGTGCATTCTTTCAGCTATTGATGTTCTGTCTGCACATTTTGCCCAATGGTGCTATCATGTCTCTTTTCCAGAAGTAGCCACCATTCCACTGATCCTCCTGAAAAGATTACATGAGCAGACAACAATTGAATCACTTCGTCGTCCTATTAAACGACTGATAGACCAGGTGAATATACATATGTTCCACATGTCACCATCCCTGTAATATTTGTGTGACAGTGTAATGTTACTCATAGATGCATTACTGTGAATAGATTTAGTTTAAGCTCGCTTCATTTCTTTTGTGAATGGGGCCAAAACGCATTATCTATTTGACTATTTTTTGCATCTTAATTCACTGTTGCTTTTGAGTTTAATATGTTAGCTTCATTTTAATACTTCAATGACAGGTAGACGAGAACAAGAACATTGTAGAAAGGAAGAGAGACGGGGTCTCATTTTCACCTAATGATACAACATCAGTTGAGAGCTTCGTTCAGGACCTTCAGGTTTGATTTCCTCCCTGTAATGATTTTTTTGTGCAATCACCTGTTATGCCTGCATAGTTGCATATACTCGATTCTTCTTCCTGGGGTTTGCTGAAAAACTCTTGTCTTGAATACAGGCAGAGAAGAGCGGTGCAAAAATTTCACAGTTTTACAAAATTGTACCAAAAAAACTAAGGTAAGGACAATGTTTGATGTTGATTGACGAAGTCATTATCAGTGGTCTGTATCCAAACATCCCCCGGCTGTTTGCAGGTAGAAAAAGAAGTGCTATGAAATGCGAACACACTTTTTTGGCTACCGGATTATCGGAAGAAGGATGCTGGGAGCATGAATGTCGCACGCCATATCGGTCAACTCATTTTTCTCTGGGAGATATTTATGAATCTGAGTTGATCACCTCTTATGACATCAACAATGGCATTGCTCGAGTTGTTGAAACCGGTGAAGTGAATGAGCCTCTTGCTGAGCAAAGTTTTGAGCGTGAATGTTACCGTTTATTGATGCATTGGGCAATGAGCCTCTTGCTTAGCAAAGTTTTGAGCGTGAATGTTACTATTTGTTGATGCATTACTGTGGAGGTTGAGACTGTTCTTCCTGACGAAAGGATTTTGTGATCTACTTTTGCACATGACTTATGATTTGCCAGACAATTATTCGATTAGCATTTCACTGTTTCCTTAGGCAGATCGATTAGGATATTGAAATCATATTATTGTCTATTTGAAGGGACTGGCTGTAATCCCTACTAAAACACAAATTTTCATGTACAAGAAATTAGGTGTCGCAAAATTTTAAGCCAACCCCCAATGAACGACCATTGTGATATCTTGGGGAATGGTTGTCATTCGCAGGTCGCTTATGGTCTTAACCATCGCTTATTCTCAGTTCTCACCTTTCGGAGCTTCCACTTTCAACTGCATCGTCCCAAATTATCGTGCTTTCAAACTGAAATTCGTGAATTTCTTTTATTCAACTTGAAATTGAAGCTCTTTTTACTATTGTGCTACTATCAACTGGAAAAGATTTAGAGAAAATTTCAGGCTAAATAGTATAGAATTAGCACTAAATTTATCACAAAACTATAGATTTAAGGTTAAAGATCACAAAACTGTATATTTAATATTAAAGTCATTACAAAACTATAGCTTTCAGAGTTTAAATCCCTAACACAATTGTTATGTTGGAGCTATAAACATTATTATTTTGTGACTAAATTGGTTCTAAACCTATAGTTATGTGATAATTTAGTTACTAAAGATAATTTTGTGACACGTCATTTTAAATGTCTAGTTTTGTGATAACTTGATGTTAAATCTATAATTTTACGATACATTAAATTTATAGTTTTGTGATAGTTTGATTATAGTATTTGTAGTTTTGTGAAATTTACTCAAAGATTTAACTTCCAGCTTTGTTTCCGGTAGCTTGAACATGAACTCACCATTATAAAGAGAACAAAACAGTCACAATCATGTAAAACGAGTATACAATCATTCTCGATAGGAACAATCCACTCTTAACAGGTAATCAGCAACCTTTGCTCTAGAACGTGTCCGCCTATTGTTCTCTTTCTGTTTGCTCATGAAGTCCTTCAATATTTAATGTTGCTATGTCGATACATCATTGACTATCTGTGTAAAGTTTTACATGGTATTTCTAGTTACCATGAAACCGAAAATTCTCAGGTAAATTCTTACTAGCTGTTTTGACTCTCATGGTCCAAGACATAAGCAGCAGGAGACCAGGAGAAACAATAGTGGTGAAAAACATAAGCAACAAACACTCTTATGGTATAACTATTGATAGGAGTGAAGCGTCTTGACAAAATTGATGACAAAATTTGTCGGTCAGCTTGGCAGTAGATCGATATAGAAGCCTGGAGTAGATATATCTATCTTACTCAGGACTCCTGCTGCACCCCAGGAGTCTGCAGAAACAAAAACTGCATGGAACAAACACAAGCCGGTTAGACGATACCACAAAGGCACAAAGGTTATTTCTGTTGATCTAGGGAATATACCTCGAAGGATTTTCCGGATCTCTCGTATTCGAGCATGCTGAGCGCGACTTCACAGCTTTGGGAGACTATAGGCTCAGGATCCTTCGCGAATTCCTCCAGAAGTGCAATGCTTTCTTGATCTGTAGATGACAGTGGGAGTACCCTCAGAAAACTATGAAATATGGACGCTCAATATGAGACTTAACAAATCTTGCAGTATTAGTTACCTGCAATTGAACCAAGGGCCTCAGCAGCTTCATGCCTGACCATTGGATGCTCATCAACATTCTTCAGGACGGTGGAAAGCGCATCCGAAGCAGCTTTATTTTGCAGCTGACCTAACACATAAGCAACCTGCAGAAGGAAAATAATTGAATTCAAGAACAAAACAAGCATCTAAACAATAAGAACATGGAATTTTTTTTCATTATCTCAACGGGTAGATCAGCATGATCTTTAGAGATTTGTAAAGCGATATGCACTCTGGAATCTGGAGCGATATGCCATCGATCCTAGTTAATCCTAGTGCTATTTGCCTTCTCCTTTATCTTAAATAAAATAGTATCTTGAGTATCCTGAACACTAATAGAGCTGAGTAGGTACAATTGCTTAGTTTTGTCTGTAACAAGAGAGGAGACTAGCATAATTCATGCTTGTGGAAAAAAGATGCAAACAGAGACTAGTTGAAATTCAAGAATACCTCATGCTTTAGAAGGGCACTTTTGGCACCTAGAGCTGCAACTATAGCAGAAACAGCAGCATCTCTGCTATCATTCCTTAGTGCAAAAAGAGCCGCATAACGTTCATACATGCTTTCTTGTTCGTTGAGAAGAATCTCCCTGAAAAATATTGACCACACTAGTACTAGCAAGAAAATACATATGAAATACAACAAACAAAGTGTACGACTGCCTCAAAGACATACCTTAGTTGGTGTACCGAAAGTCCTTGCTTTGCAGGTAATGCTGGATCAACTGAGAGAAATGGTGAAATGGTTGTGCTTTCAGAAACACCAGCATTCTTTTGTTGTTCTATCCGCCTAAGAGCCAGCTCACATGTTTCCTGAACCTCCACGGCAGGATCAGCAGCTAAACTCTCCTCAAGCAGGGGAATGCTCTTCTCCAGGCCAATAGCACCAAGGGCTTCCGCAGCCTAATCAATTGATATATATATATATATATATATATATATATATATATATATATATATATATATATATATATATATATATATATATATATATATATTACTTCTCAAACGGATAGTGCAGCACTAAAAGTAGAAGATGGCATTAAACTCTTATGTATTACTACCTCATGGCGGACAATTGGATGAAGTGAAAGATCTTTGAGAACTGCCTCTAACGCAGGGATAGCCTCAGCATCTTGCATTTGTCCAAGTGCAAAAGCAGCCTCATGGGCAAGCAAGTTAGAAGAATCCCTTGCAGCTGAGCAATGCATCAAACAGTCAAATATATTAGCTTTCTAAAGCTCCTTTATTCTAGTAGTCTTCATCAATGAATAATTGTCACTAAACAACAAGCTTTATCATTGATATGAGTGGGTGAGTTAGTGAGGTAAGACCTTGGAGGAGGGCGCAGCGGGGGCCATCACCATGGAGGTTGCGGAGGGAGAAGAGCGCACGGAAGCGTTCAGCGATGGGCTGTGCCGTGTCAAGCAGCAGATCGCACAGGAACTTCTCCATCTCTGGGGTAGGCCCGAATGTGGAAGAAGCAGCCACCTCTGCCGACTCCATGAATTAGTTGGTGGCTGCAAGGTAATCTGACGCCTAAAAGGGGAAAAAGGCATATGAATCTTGAGAAATTAAAGCGCATAACAAAGCATAATATGGAAAATCAGAAACAGAAGACTCAGGCACCTCCAAACTAAGCAAATCACATACTTTTATGTAGAGGAATCACCACAGCAGGTTGGTATAAATAGACAATATACATGGAACACATTTTTTCTCGAAAACATCTACATGGAACATATAGCAATCATGATTCACAAATACAAGTCAAGAATGAAAGGACTAACATCACAACAATTTCCAGGTTCACAAATCACTAGTTATGAATACACACCATCGCTATTGACAAGTATAGCAAAGAATAACTAAGGAGGGAAGAGAACTACGCATTCGACAAAGGAATTGACGAAACACTATGCTGAATGATGATACATCCAAACCATAAATTGCTTGGTACATACCACATACTACTCATTTCTATCTGATAACTTTCACAGTGGTCGAAATCAGATCAAATTAGTGCTAATCATCGAATATATCTTTCTCATAAATCCCGCACACCACACCTGCTGGCTTAAACGAAAAACAACTCGAAACACCATCGCATCGCATCGCATCCACAGAGTATTGAAGCACTCTCCAGATTACAATAGCCGCTGGACGTTGCGGCCGGAGTAACGAGTTCTAACCAAGCACCAATCCAACGAACAAGCGCAAAGGAAAAAGGAAGAAGAAAAAAAAAAGAAAACTCAAATTGGATCGGTGGACTGGAGGAAGGGAAGCGGGCGGCGTGTCAAAGGTTTTAGGGTTGGGGCTCGCTCGGGAACCAACCGTACCTTCACCCGGAGGAGCTTCCGGCCGCCGGCGAGCGTGGAGGAGGGAGTCCGCGTCGACGTCGAAGTCGGCGCCGCCCGTACGCGCGTTGTTCTCACGCAGCAGTCCGAATGGACTTCTCACTTTCTCAGAGCATCCGCAGGCAGGCAGCGGCCAACTGGTTTTGAACACTGCGGAAATGGAACAAGCAGATCGGCCTCAGTTCTTTTTTTCCCCTCAAAAGCTTTACATATATATAAAAAAAAACTTACAAATATTTCCGCACACCCATACACATCATTACACACGCAACAGCACACTTACCACCTGACGAATATGTTCCCTAGCATAAGTTCAAAACAACACAACCATAATCTCACAAAAATTCTATTGAAAGACCACTTATTTATGGATACTAGGATTTAAACCCTGATGAGTTGTGCATGTGCTTTTAAAAATAACTTACAAAAACTCACTGTCAAACTTCTTTTTAACTTTTAGCAGCCGTTAGCTGCTTACTACTCCCTCCGTCTCATAATATAAGAGATTTTGACTTTTTACTTGTACTGTTTGACGATTTATCTTATTAAAAAAATTAGAATTATTATTTATTTTATTTGTGACTTACTTTATTATCTAAAGTACTTTGAGCACAACTTTTCGTTTTTTATATTTGCACAAATTTTTTGAATAAATCGAGTGGTCAAACAGTGCAAGCAAAAAGTCAAAATCCCTTATATTATGGGATGGAGGGAGTATGTCTTTAGGACAATTTTGAATTTCACAGCTTAATTTTAGGAATAATTTAGGTTTGTTTTTCTTCCATTGCTCATCTTTAGCTTCAAGAGAGTTTCGGCTAAAACTAGTACCGATTAAACATTCATCAAATGACAAACGGATATTCCATGATAGAATACAACGGATGGAGAAATGGCTTGGAAGCACATGGAACTGATTGTTGCTTTATTGCAACTCAACAAAGTTCATCAAAAATACATTGCACATCTCCCACAACAGGCAGCCATTACGAAATTTTGATACAACTCAAGATTTGAAACTCTAGGCACAAGCCAAGCATGAACATAACAATTCAGTCAGCTAATTATTACAGTTACAGGCAGAGCAAATATGCTTCTACAGAGCAACCTGTTAAAAAAAACAAAAGAAAAGGAGAATGTAGGGATACAGATACAACACAACAGCATCTACAAATCAGGGAACATGTCTAGAAAAAAAACATTGGTTTTCTAATGACTACAAGTTAATAGGGCATAAATAGCAAACAACAGGATAGAGCCCCCAGCTAAATTTGGAGGGGGCCCAATTTGTTACAATAATCGATAACCATGCTTTCGCACCGATGATTTCATTCGCAGGCCAGCTTGGTGTCGAAACTACTCAAGCAGATTGCAAAGGCCTGGAAGGCCGAAAGGGGGTAACGATAGTCCATTGTGAACATATCCTTCGCAACCTTACCAAATTGTAGTATGACCTTGTCATGATCAGGTGGAGGCGGCGGGGCAGGTTGCGATGGCGTCGGGGCTCCAGCAGCAGGCTGTGTTGCAGCAACAAGCTGGAAGTTCTTCACAGACGCGACGGTTACCCTGCCCTTGAAGTTGAGGCACCAGCACTGCAACTGCTCGTGCCATCTTGGGGCCTTGTTACGGAGAATCAATGGCCTCTCCTTGGACTCATCACTGTCACCCAATGCCTGGCCTCCGACCATGGGGCCACCTACTGAGATGTCAGAATATCTGCTACTGCTGAAACGGATAGAGCGGTCCATAATGGATGACTTGGAAAAGGAGATGCTGCCAAATGACTCATCAAGAGAGCGTGCAAGCACACTGTCTGGCTGGCATGGGACAGTGCCACCAGCCTCAAGCGATGAGGCAGGGATTGAGTGCATCACACAGTTCATCCGCCTAGGACCCCGAGTCCCCAAGACATTCAGTTCATATGAAACTTGAGCTATGCTGTAGGTGCTGGAAGGGTTCTTTGGCGACACCTTCCTGGAGTAGAACCTACGGCTTGTTTTCCCTGACTGTGAAACATTGGCTGTGTTGCATGGAGGTTGGGTATCATATATTACAAACTTTGTTCCGAGAAGATTTGACCTAAAAGTCCAACACAGTAAATATATCAGATTATACCATTAAAACACTTAGACGATGTACCTTCTCTAAACAAAGTTGCCATTATTTTGGGTTATTACCTCAATTTTCCAATGTACATGTTGCTTGACCTAGATGTATTGTCAGCACTCATAAATATTGTATATTCTGTACAGGTTGCACGGGAGTATCTTTTCGCCGATAAAAGGAACTTGCCACTTTCAACGAGCACAGCTACATGAGATGTGTTACAACATGTGAAGTCAGCAAATATAACAGAAACTAAAAAAGTATGCTGGTGGGAGGGATATATGCAGTAAGAAATTAGCTCACAACAGGACGAAATAGCTGCAAAAGGGGGGGGGGGGTAACAAAGGAGGTGGTATGGTATGAATATCCATATGCACAAATGATTAGCACGCGTGGGAATTGCAATAATTAAGCAAGATCAGTATGCAATAATTAAACTAATACCAAACAAGCTGTACGGTCATACATAACTTATATGCCTCAATAACTCATACATACTGGCTAACAGTGCAAATCATACATTAACTTTTGGTTGATATTTATGCAAGGAGAAATACTGTCATGTATAATATATTGTTGCTTATATAAAGAATAGATACCACATACAAGTCCCTCACAGGGAATGCTAGCGGTGATGGAGCGTAAATGATTATGCCACATATGCAAGCTATACATTAATCTCTGGTTGTTGTTTATGCAAGGTATCATGCATTCTTGCTTATATAAACAATAGATACTCATACAAGCCCCTCACAGGAAGTGCTAGCTGTGATGCAGTCTAAATAATAAGGGAAAATTGGTCCTATGACATCCAAAGATCCCATTCATAGAAATTTACCATTGAAAGATCTTGGTACACTTTAATATTATCGAAAGATTACGTCGTTCAGTTTTTAACCATTGCATCCCCTTCCATTAGTGTTTACCGGATTTTCCCCCTTTTTTGCACTCAAAACTTACACTTATGCCCATTAGACATACGTCTTGAGCTTCTTGAACCAGATTGTCACCAGCACCGCTGCAGTGCCGCCTGCTGTGCCACCCATATTCTCAAGCTCTAGTGTGTATCTTGTTGATTTGGATTTGCAAGGTTTTGGAATGCAAGTCACAGCCATTCACGTTGCTGTCAGGGCCACAGTGGTGGGTGGCATGGAGGACCTGGTGAAACTGATGAGGAAGCACCTCAAGACGTTGCACAGCTGCAGCGTCGGGTTGCAGGATGTGCATCAGCACGAGCTCCTATCAGGCTGTCACGACCCTAGTTATTGGAACCGGACCGGACCAGCAGTTGGACCGGAAAAAACCGGAACCGGAGCCTCCGCCGGTCTGGTCCAACTAAAAGACCGGCTGTGCAATCGGCCCAGTATAAACCGGTTGGGCCGCCCGGTTTTGTAGAAAAACCGCCAAGAAAACCGGATTTCAACCGCCCGGTCTGCATTGCGCGCGGTCACCTCGGCAGCTGGAGAGGGAAAAATGTGAGAAAAAGGGGCACAGGTGGGATTCGATCCCAGTACCTCATGCATGGAACTGAACCAACCAACCACCGGGCTATGATACACCTTGTGTTTTGAAGGAATAAACTATATATTTACATTAGATTGAACCGCTTCAAACCAGTGGTTCAACCGGTTGAACCAACAAACCATTGAACCGAGGGCATCGCCGGTTTAATGACCGGTCCGGTCTCAATAACTATGGTCACGACTGCTCTGCCACGATGCTAGCGCTGCACCATTCAAGAAGGCAGCAACTGTCCATGCCTGGTGCAAGCAGGCCAACATGCTCACCGGTGACAAATTTGAAATGACTAACGAAATGTGCTGAAATGCATATCAGCTACAGCTTCAATCAACACGATTCCCATCTCGTTGGCAAACGGCAATCATCAAGCAGGCCCAAATAACTCAGGGATGCTATGTGCGGGCTCTTCTGATTTCAGAAATTTACAAGCACCAATTGCCAGCCAAATTAAAATCCAAATCAGCCTGAATTGCAGCTCACAACGACCATGGCATGATAGTTCTCACTTCTCAGATCCTTTCGTGATGCAGCCTTGAAGCCATGACAGTTGAGCAGCGAAAATATCTATGTTGATGAGGCCTCAATTTAGAGAAAAAAGGAAGGCATAGAAAGGATTCAGAGGAGAAGCATGCTGTATCAAGAGGAGAAGAGAGCGCAATGGAAAGGGCGGCCATCACGGAGGCTGGCACTGTAGTTTCGGCGCATGGAAGACAAAGCCAAACGAAAATCCAAATCAGCCTGAATTGCAGCACACAACGACCATGGCATGATAGTTCTCGCTTCTCAGATCCTTTCGTGATGCAGCCTTGAAGCCATGACAGTTGAGCAGCGAAAATATCTATGTTGATGAGACCTCAATTTAGAGAAAAAAGGAAGGCATAGAAAGGATTCAGAGGAGAAGCATGCTGTATCAAGAGGAGAAGAGAGCGCAATGGAAAGGGCGGCCATCACGGGGGCTGGCACTGTAGTTTCGGCGCATGGAAGACAAAGCCAAACGAAAATCCAAATCAGCCTGAATTGCAGCACACAACGACCATGGCATGATAGTTCTCACTTCTCAGATCCTTTCGTGATGCAGCCTTGAAGCCATGACAGTTGAGCAGCAAAAATGTCTAAGTTGATGAGGCCTCGATTTAGAGAAAAAAAGGAGGCATAGAAAGGATTCAGAGGAGAAGCGCGCTGTATCAAGAGGAGAAGAGAGCGCAATGGAAAGGGCGGCCATCACGGGGGCTGGCGCTGTAGTTTCGGCGCAAGGAAGACAAAGCCAAATGAAAGGGTTTAGTGCGAGTGTGTCATGTGGCACTTATGTCGTTGCTAGAGGACAAATGAGTCCGTTTTAATGGCAACCTATTAAATTCAGATGGAATGGTATAAAAGTGAACGGCCTAACTCGATGATATTAAAGTGTATAGAGATCATTAGATAGCAAATTACTCACAACAGGATCTTTCAGTGTCGTAGAACCAATTTCCCCCAAATAATCATGCCATGTAGCGAGTACAAAAACAAACACAATACTAGGATAAAGGCTTACCTGAGCTAAGACATAGATATAGGTTGTAAGTTTGGGTAGATTTATCCCTTTTAATGAAGCACTGGATGGCTCCATTCCGGGGCCCAGGCTGAAAAACAAAACATGGTCAAGAAAAGCATATTAATGAACATATCAAATATTTCTATATCAGAATTTCATTTCGCATACTATAAATGAGCATATTAAGCCGTGTATACGACAACCATCAAAGATGTATGTTAGTTAAACAAATCTGAAATCGAAGCGCGGAAATACAAGACTAAGCAAGAGAGCATCATCATCACCTGCTTGAGGGAAACAGGAAAAGTGATCTTCCCGCAAAACTCGGGGTTCTTGACGATCTCTCTACACATGTCCCTCCATGTCCGGCATACGGCGGCGCACGCGACGACGTTCTTCCTGGACGGCCACGCCGCCTCGCTGGCCTCCAGCCGCTCGATCACGTCCCGGAGCAACTCCGGCGGCAGGTTAGCCCAGCAGCTGCTCTGGACCACGTCGGCGGCGGCGGCGGCCGCGTGGCCGTCACGCAGCTCGTGCACCGCGCTGTGAGACCTCCCCCTCCGGTGCCCCACCAGCCTCACCTCGAACCCTCGCCTGGACAGGCTCCCGAACCCGTCGCGCACGTCGCGGACAATGCTGCGGAACGACATCTCCGCCTCGCCTCGCTCCGAAGCTCAAAATCAAGAACCCTAGGCGCAACCGCTGTAAAGAAAATCAGGTGGGTGAAATGGGGCGGGGAGATTCGGAGGGGGAGGAGGAGCACGGATCCGGGGGAGACGAACCTCGGGGGTGGCGCCGGCGGCAGCTAGCGGTGGCCGGCGGGGGAGGGAGGCGGAGGCGGAGGAGGCATGGGGATCGGAGGAGGAGGAGGAAGAGGAGGGGAAGGAAAGAACAAGTGGTGGTGGCTGGACAAGTGTTGGGGGGACGCGACTTCACGTGGGAGCAGAACAAAAAAAATTGAATTTGTTTTTTATGAAGAATAGACTTATCAGTTATTATTATTACTAGTGGTAATTCATTTTGGTTTGTTCTGTTCTGTTTTATGTTGTGTTTTGGTAGTAGATTTGTGTGCTTTTTCAAGTGATCTTTGTTTAATTGTTCGGCGAATTCTATCCATTTGTGTGCTTATCGACTCGACTCGGGCTTCCATATTTAGCTAGATAATACTACATTCGTCTTAAAACATAAGGAATTTGATGGATAAGACACATCTTAGAATTACAAATCTAGATAGATAAGATGTGTCTTATTTATTCAAAATCCGTTATATTTTAGGATGGAGGGAATAGCATATACATGTGATTATAAAGTCAATGTCTTAAATTTGTATGGTTTTCAAGTGATTTTGATTCTAGTTAATTGTCCGGCAAATTTGGGTTTTAACCCATGTGTTTACTCAGGCGATCGATCGACCTCTTGGAATTTGTCCATATCTCCTTGTCAAATTAAGTTGTTTTTTTGGGTTGGACTAGCTGATTGCGTATGAATATATGATACTAGAGTTAGAGGCCTCAAATTTAAATCCTAACGAATATACGTAAACACATAGTTGGAGAAAAAGACACAAAGTAGGGTAATTAGGTATAAGTGAATTATCCGTAGTTTTTTGAATTACGGCGTGATAGCCACCACGTGAGCAGTGCGGATAATAAAGTATACTTCGAAGGTAAATTTAGGGTATTGCCTTAAGCCCAGGCACGCGATACTGTGGTTCTACGCAGTAAGAACCATAATACCCGGGTTAATTTACATAAAATTTACCAAAAAATTATTTTACGGTAATACTTTTATGTTTTCAATTACTGGTGCTGAAGCCAAAAGCTTCACAGCTCAAATAAACAGACCCTCCTCCACTAATGTCCAACAAAATTATTCCAATCGACAATGGAATTAAAAGATTCGAACCTTTATATGTATTTTCTCGTACTTCTATATATCTACTACACACCTGATTTTGATTTTCTTTTTTCCCTTCTGAGAACAAAAAACCTGCTTGCAGAGGACTGGTACAATGCCATGAAGCAGATAGAAAAGGTCCCTAGCTTAAAGAAGACAATCAACTTCAAATTTCAAGCAGCAACTGTTCTTCAGAAACAATGTAAATAACCACACTGAGCAGTGAACTTTGCAAGCTTTACCTCCTTTAAAGAATCCTCCACTTTGAAAAAGAATCGGGTCAGGAAAAGCTGGAGAGAACGCTGAAGAAAATGTCACCTCAGATTATGGATGCAATCAGACATTGTCATTATACATAAACAGTAGGTCGACAATGATGACAATTGACAACATTAACAGCATATAACATGATCTTCTGAGTATGTGTGGTTAGCAAGCTCACTGAAGAATAAGAGTTATGGTACAAATCAAGCTCACTAGCACAAATAATGTAGGGAAAAAAAGCAGAACAAAAAAAGTATGCTGAACCTTAACCTTCTTGCGTCAGTCTACTCGAACAACAGAAGCCATCAGCGACCTGAAATAACCAAAAGAAGAAGCAAATTCATGAGACACAACTTGACAGAATCCATAATCAGTCAAGAATACAACTTTATCGTAATTAACAAGTGAGCCAACCCTGCATGGGAAGGCACCATAGCATAGAAAGTATCCGTATATAGCATTTTTGTTTTCACTTACTCTGATTGTGGAAGTAAGTCATTTGATAAAACCACTAAAAATATAAGGACGTAAAGCTACAACAATGCATTTTGAGAACATAACTCATAACCAAGGTAAACCAATGGTAATAACAATTTATTTATGTCTCCAACCCCAATATGACTGTGTATATAGAACAAATCTACATAATTTTTGCAATTGCTTCAGAAGCTAGAAAGCTCTTGTTTTGCTTTTGCACAAACCACCATGTAGTCCAGTAGTTATGTACTCCGTACTACGGAACTAGTAACTTCATCAGGATGAATGTTCACTCCCTATAACTTCTGAATGCCACTGCGTTATAAGCCTATAAAGATGACATTCCTACACGAATTTTGGTCTGCAATTGTTTTTCCTACCTCATAACTCACAAGCCATAGTGAAGGATGGATAAAACAGACAAGATAAGGTGCTCTATCATATGTTTTATCTATGACACATTCTCCAGCTTTAGAGGCACTAAAGTGTTCCAATAAATGATTGCGGAATGACAAAAAAGAAATAAGTTGTTTGTTGGGTTGCTCTTGATCAATCTTATATGCACTATTCTCATAGTGTTTCCATATTTTGTAACAACATATTTGATCTACTGAGAAAGTTATCCCAGAACAACATATTTCGTAACATGTAATAAGGTTTTCCATATAAGAATATGCGCATGCTCAGCAACTCAATGCGCACTCCACTTACACAGACGGACAGATATATGCTTGCCTAATCAGTCCCCTCTCCCTGTCGGCTGTTGCCTCACACTCCAGCATTGGCCCACTGCTGACATGTGAGCGAGACACCAATAGGATGAGGTGAACTTTTCAGTGGCATATAGACAACCAGGATGCACCCTTTCCAAATTTATTAAACAAAAACAAGACTCTATAAAGGTTGGTAAATATGCCTAGAACAAAAGGCATGTTAAAGTAAGTTCTGCTGAAAGTCCGATATAAATTGAACAGATGCAAATGTGCACTTTAGCGCATTTAACAACTTGGACTATTATGAGTTAACTAGTGACATAAGATAATAGGCATAAAATTTACAAGTAGAAACTGGTAGAATTTTATTATGGAAAAGGAATTAATGTGAAACTAAATGAATGATGTCGGCACTATGTGAAACAACCATATCAATAGTCACAGTGATCCAGTAAAAAAACATAAATATACCATGTACATTAATTGGAATGGTCACCCCTCATACAATGTCATTAATTGATGATACAGGCAACTTATATTCTTTTTTAGCTCAAGTATCTCAAGAATTCATGGCTCCCAAAATATTTATTGATGTTATCACATATAGAACATTAAGCTGTAAAGATGAAATACAGTGCTAAGATGGTACTAGCGCCTTTCTGCACAGTAATACCAAAAACTTGATAGGCAAAAAGGGTTCCTCAAAATGAAAATTTAGGTTTTTAAGGGTAATGATGCTGGGGAGTTGGCTTACCATCTTACAAGTCAGCCTTGATTGGTTAAAAATATGTCATGCATGATTGCCACTGCCTTTTTGCTTGAGTTCAAGCTCTAACTCTTTGTGCCTTACCTCCAGCTCCAAGCGCTTATTCTCAAGCCTCATTTTTTCATTCTCTAACCTCATCTGTTCCAGTTCTCTATCCTTATTTTTACTGAAGCGCTCCCATTTGAGCCGTTGTTTTGCAAGATAGACTGCCTGGACTTCAATCTGCAACCTTTGTTCCTCAAGATCTGCAGATTGTGTAGCCAAATCCTTTTGCGCCAAAGCCAAGTTGGTTCCATCAGGAAATGCTTTGTTGATATCCAGTGATATGCCATGGGAATCAGACCTCCTGCTACATCCATGTGAGCTGGAAGAGTTGCCAAAACCCACATCCTCCTGATCTGTCATAAGCCTCAATCTTTTATGCATGGGCAGGGCACTCTTATCACCTTGTAATGTGTAATTTTCCTCATCATTCTCCTCCTCGGAATCAGAGTCTACACTTTGATCATCTTCATCGGCATCTCCGCTTGTTCCCCTCCTCAGATCATGCTCATCTTTACATCTAAGGGCAAGCTGCAGTGAACGCTGAAGGGCAGGATCTTCAGGCAAACTCACTCGATTGTTATTATGGTAGGAGCACATCTCCTCGTAGAACAAGTGCTTTGAACTCAGTATCTTCCTCGCATCATCTTTCATCTTGTCAGACAGATTACTCATGCAATCCAGCAGAGCATGATTCTCCACAATCTTGCAAGCTGTACCCCGGCCAAGGATATCTGTAAGTCTTTTGTATCTCTTATTGAGATCATTGAATTTATCTTCACATTGCTGCGGTGATACACTGCAGCCTCGCTCACCCATGACCTTTGATATTGCCTTCCACTTGCCCTTTTTCTGCATTATTGCAGAGTTTCTCTTCCCAGCTCCTGAATCAGCTCCTGGATCCTCCCCAGTGTAAGATACTGCAGTAATTAAAAGCTTGACCATTGAATCAGTCCACTTCATCCGCTGCCATGCAGCGCCCTTCTTTCCCTTGCCGCTCTGGCTATCAGTGGCATCCTCGTTGACACCATGTTCCTCATCATCACTCATGCCGTTCTTGGCGTGTTGACGATGGTGATGGTGGTGGTGGTGGTCAACCTTTCCAAGCTCTCCGAATTGAAATTCTGACAAGTGATCAGAATCTGTAGACTGGTTTACATGCATCGATAAATTGCCAGGCATCTGAGTATGGTCAAAGCCCTGCTTTCCAGGATTTGGAGCATGCATTTGCCCAGAGTTAGAACGCATCAAGCTTCCAGAGGGTAGGTTGTTGCCTTCCATTCACCCCAAGGATCAGCCAGGCACTGAAGCTGCTTATTAATACCATATACAAACAGACGAGATTTTGCGCAGGCACTGGTGACCACTTTTGTTACATCACCTGCGAAAGCAATTCAGGAGAATTGTTGAACACCTAAAGCAAAATACATGATTGAGAAATCTATAATAATATCAAAAATTAATGAGATGTAATAACTAAAACTGCTGATATAATGAGTACCATGCTTCAAAGATTTATTCAAAGTGAAAATTAGGAAAAAAAAATATCCATGTATTCCACAGAAAAGGAATCAACAGGGCCGGATCCAACTTGGGACATGGGGTTCAGTTGAACCCCCCCCCCCCCCAAAAAAAAAAAAAAAACTTTTGGGAGAACAAACAAACTGTTACTACTTGTATTAAAAGAGGTTTAAGGCTCTCAAATTAAGGAGAAGAGCTTCTTCCAGATCTAGAAGAGAAGTTAACGAACGCAAGCAAATTCCACGTCCCGGTGGGATGGGAGATAGAGATGAATCAGAAAGAGGATGTGGATGCTCACCAGGATTCCCTCCCCTGCTCTGCTCGATCGCCGCCCCTCCCCTGTTCAGCCGCGACTCCTCTTGGCGGCGGCGCAAGGAGCGGAGGAGACAACGAGACGGGAGATTTCTGTTTCTTTTACGCGATACTCGACTACTCCTCCACCTTTATGGCTGTATCACAGTATTTTTACTATTTTAAAACTACTCGCTAATAGTACGAGTAAATTCCATAAAACTGCATGTACTTACACGATATATCGTGAAATGATAGATTTAAGAACTTGTTTTATAAAAGTACAGATTTAATATTTTCGTTTATCACAAACTACAGATTTAAGACACATTTAATATCTTTATTTATCACAAAACTATAGGTTTTGAATACACTAAACCTATAGTTTTGAAATAAATGAAGATACTAAATAGTTCTGTGATAAACAAATACACTAAATCTATAGTTTTCTTAAATCTGTAATTTTGTGATAAACGGAGACACTAAATCTGTAGTTTTGTGAAACAAGCTTTTAAATCTGTAGTTTTGTGATAAATTGTGTAAAATACCTGTGGTTCTGTGAAATTTACTCTAATAGTATTTCTTTATAGTAACTGATGGCCCATATATCTATCATCAAATACTTAGAGAAAAATTAACAAACTCAGTTAGCAATTGTGTCGATAAAAAATTCCTCAGACCACCAGCAACCACTATATGCCACTCCGCGCACCGCCATCACCCCTCTTTCTCCATGAGCCACCATCGTTCATCCTCTTTGCCTTTACATGCGCAGTTGTACCCTCTAGTAACTGACATGTCTTTTTCTCCTCTCCTATCATCATGCACACTACTGTTATGGACTTATGATTGCCTTTGAGGTTGGAGATGTATGGCTTGCAGGGCCTCTGGGAGGCAGGAGCTAACTCGACAAAGAACGAAGATGCTAGTTCTGGACTCCTTCTTGCTAGATCTAGCGGTTATCCAACTGTCGGAGGGAAAAAGAAACGGAGAGAGAGAGAGAGATAGTGTGCGGAGACTTTGGAGATGGATAGAATAAGGTGGTCCAAATTGAAATGTAAAGTTAGCTATTGTGTAAGTGAAAAAATGGTTAAAGGATGACATAATAATATGAAAACTTTTAAGAATTTTTAAGAATACTGTAATTTACTCCCTCTAAAAAACGAATTTAGAACTGGATGTGACACATACTAGTAAAACGAATCTAGACATGCATATCTAGATTTGTTGTACTAGAATGTGTCACATCCAGTACTAGGTTGGTTTTTTATGGGACGAAGGGAGTACTTTTTTTTCTCTAGCACAATTAAAGATGAGTTGTCTATTACCAGATAATCTCGTGATATGCTAAGTATGGTTAGGCCAGTGTACTTAGCTATAATTAATAATATCATGATATGTTGATGCATGGCGATACATACTTCTATTAACACAAGCTGATTAATTATAGTTAGATAGATTTAGCTAAAAGATAATAAAAATAATACCATCATTTTTGCTCAATAATAAAACATTCGACTATGGTCTTCTTTTCTCATTGCATGATATATGATGACTACATTAGTAGATATTTACGTAATTCTTTGATATTGTTTTTTATTTTCTACATATATGTTAATTGGGACTAATATTTTTCTCATAATTAAATAGATAACAAATCATTTTTCCATATTTCTTCTATAAAATATGAATAGGGCTTGTTGGTGCTAAAGCCCCAGCTCCATCCCGGCAGAACCCCTGCCCTGCATGCAGAGTAGCAGCTGCACAGCTTCGGGAGAGGAGCAGCATGTAGCAGAAGCAGGGTTTATGATTCCGAGATGCTTCTGTTTCGGGCTCTAGCGGAATGACGGTTTTCGCGAAATCTAGTGGAAAGCTGATAGATTCCGAACAAATTTCATAAAGCAAAATTTGAATACAAATACCTTGAGTTTACCGATAAGCTTGCGAAAACCAGTCAGCTTTGACGAAATTCTGAGCGAAATCATCGAAATTTCAATCGGTAACTAGAAAAGGTAACTGAAAGTGTTTTCCTTTTTTTAATACGTTATTCTTTTATTTCCTACTATAAATTTCATTAAATATACAGAATACATTTTTTTTCAAAAATTTATATCCAATAGGTTCTACGAATATTATACTATTTATAAGATTTTGTTTGATTTTTTCCTTTTTTATCAATTTAAATTTGAATTTGGATGAAACTCATCAAAATCTCAGATGGCTTCTATTTTCTAGCCTCGTCGAAACCTCAAAATTTTATGGAATTCGACCGGTTTTCGTCGGAATTGTGAACCTTGAGCAGAAGTGCAGAACAACCAGGTCGCAAGGAAGAAGGAGCAATCAAAGACAACATGTCGTGGTCCATGGGTGATTAAGTGGACTAATTGGCTGTTAGGGCTTCCTTATTAAGTTATTAGTTTTTGCGGTTTTTTTTCCTACTTCAATTGATGGAACAATCACGGGATTAGGGAAGCGAGTGGTTTTTACTCACAAAGTAATCCAACAATTATCAACAATTGTGTTATTGAATTTGTGGCTGCGCCTTTGTAGTATTATGGCTTACATCGTGAGAAATTGAAAAAAAATTGATAGGATATATTAATATGAAATATAACACTCTACAAACATGCAAGTTAAAATTCAACTTTTAAAAATTGTAAAAAAAATAACAAATATAGCTGCGAATATACGATATCTATTTTTTCAATTTAATTTGTTATTTTTTAGCAACTTGTATAAGTCAAATTTGGCATTGTATGTTTGTGGAGTGATATATTTCATATCAATCCATATTGTTATTTTTTAAAAATTATTTAGAACTATTTAAGATGATATGCAAGCTTTCATCATAATTCGTAAAGCACGTTTGAAAGAAGCACCCCTGTATTTTCGTTCAGATTCGTCGCTGCACTCGCGGCTATAGCATGCGCCATACTGGCAGATTCGCCCGCGAAGAGGAAGACGAGGACGCCAAGACGGTGGAAAATGATTTTTTTTCTGCGAAAAGAGATTAAAAATAACAAGTGGGACGATGAGCGTGTGGTTCGTTTTCATCGTGGTGTCGGTATTCACGGTGGCTGACAGGTGGGGCCGTTCTGTGTGGGCCATGGGTGACCGTCAGTCTTGGCAAGGGTTTTGGGCTGCCCGCGCAAATGTGTTCTTGTCTGCCCACTAGCCAAGTTGCCCACTAGCCAGTCCCATTTTGTTGGCTGGCTGGGCCCACTTTGAATGAGCTCATGAAAGCTCCATATCTATTTTATTCTTCTCAAAGAAAAGTATTTACTGAAAATACTAAGAGCCTGTTTAGTTCACGAAAAGAAAATTTTTGGGTTTCACATCGGATGTTTGACCGGATGTCGGAAGGGGTTTTCGGACACAAATAAAAAAACTAATTTTATAACCCGCCTGGAAACCGCGAGATGAATCTCTTGAGCCTAATTAATCCGTCATTAGCACATACGGGTTACTGTAGCACTTATAACTAATCATGGACTAATTAGGCTCAAAAGATTCGTCTTGCGATTTTCCCCTTATCTGTGCAATTAGTTTTTTAATTTATCTATATTTAATACTTCATATATGTGTCCAAAGATTCGATGTGATGTTTTTTTGGGAAAAAGTTCTTGGAAACTAAACAGGGCCACTCCAGTGCCATCTCCCCCATCTACTACTAGGTCATAAATATTTGACGCTTAGGATTCAATTAGTTATTTTAACCTTTTACCATCAATTTTGTATTAAAATAAATGGATAAAATCTAAATAAGTTTATGATATTTATGATAGTACTCTATGTACATGTTATTAAAAACTATCACTTGAGAAATTATTGATAATCAAAATTTAAGAGTTTGATCAAACTTTATCATAAATATCAAATATTTATTACTAGAGCACAAAGACATATCATAAAACAAACCCAGTTTCAACAAAGTTGGGGCCAACTCCAACCCCAGGCCATGTTCGTTTGTGTCTATATTTTCAAGCAATGCTGTGGACCTTTGGTACCTACCTACAGGCTCGCAACGAAAGAAGTCACTTCAGTTCTGCATCTACACAAAGAAATTCTGTCAAGGCTGTCTTCCTTTTATGTCAAAAAGATCACAACTACCAACCGATTTAGCCTTTGATTGCATCACCAGTAGTCATTGCAAGAACATGACCTGGTTTCTTCCTACTACTCCATCCGTCCCAAAATAGAAGAACCTAGAATTGAATGAGACATTTTTTAGTGCCTCTTAAGATTCATTATACTAGGAAATGTCACATCCGGTTTTAGGTTCTTATATTTTAGGACTGTGGGAGTAACTGATTCTAGCCTTTGATTGAATCACCAGTAATCATTGCAAGATGGGAGTAACTGATTCTAGCCTTTGATTGAATCACCAGTAGTCATTGCAAGAACATGACCCCATCCTGAAGTGGTGGAACCTGTTGAGATCCCTGACAACGAACTCCCTCTCCACAATGGCACTGATGACCTTAAACGCTTCATGGCAGTCACGGCACATCCTCAGGTTCTTCATCACCCTAATGGCCATCCCCTTGGGGATCACCAGCAATCCAAGCCCCAATGCCAGCAACTCACTGTGCACTCCAACCATCACACCTCTGCCTTCCTGATGATGATGATTTCCATCCTCTTCTTCATCAGCATCAAGGACTCTGGCACTGCCAATTCTCCCCTTGTAACCCTTCTCCCTCATCTTGCCCTCCAATTCATCTAACAGCAGCATCACCTCACCGGCCCTTGAGCCGGCAGGCGATACCATGCCAGCGTAGAACACGTAGGAGATGTCCTTTATCTCGATCCAGCTGCACCCGGGATCCTTCCGAATGCCGCGCCGCCTCATGTTCGACCACACCGCAGCAGCGTCGTCGGCTTGACCGGCTGAAGCGTATGCGTTCGACATGACCACCAGTGCGCCGGCCACATCTTGGGTGAACTCTGATACCTTCTGCCCAGCCATGGTTGCTAGGTCCAGGCGCTTGTGGTTCCGGCAAGCTGACAGCAATGAGCTCCACAGCATGAGGGCGTCATTGCCATTGACCTGTGCTTCGTCGGCCAGCTCGAATGCCGCCTCGAGCTGACCTGCACGACCGAGCATGTCGACAGCACAAGTGTAGTGGCTGGCACATGGATCAATGCCGTACTCGCTTCGCATTGAACGGAGGAGCTGGAGGCCGGTGTCGACCAGACCTGAGTGGCTGCAAGCGTGCAGGACGCCGAGCAGTGTGACACTGTTTGGCTGCACGCCTCGGCCAACCATGTCACTGAACAAAGCGAGTGCGCACCTGCCGAGGCCGTACTTCGCCGTCGCCACGATGATGGAGGTGTAGGGGATGACCGACGGCTGGTTGATCCTGTCGAACACCTTCTTTGAGTACTCGTAGATGCCACATTTGGAGTACATGTCAACCAGAGCCACTGCAACCACGTCATTGTCTTCGTGCCCATGGTGGAGGACCATGCCGTGAATGCACTTGCCGATGCCAAGCCGCCCGACGCCCGCGCACGCGTTCACCACGCTTGACAGCATGAAGTGGTTGGGCGCCATGTCTTCGCCATTGGTTCTGAGCTCGGCGAAGAGCTGGATAGCGTCATGCCCGAGCGCGTTCTGCGCATACACCGACAGCATCGAGGCCCAGGAAACCGCGTTTCTCGCCGTCACGGGCATTGCGTCGAACACAGCGCGGGCGTCCCCGACCCTGCCGGCCTTGCCGTACATGTCGACGAGCGCAGTGGAAACGACGCTGTCGCACGCGTACCCCGCGACCTCAGCGCGGGCATGCACCTGCCGCCCAAGGCCGGCGTCAGCCAGGCGCGCGCACGAGCTGGCAGCTGTAGAGAAGGTGAAGGCGTTGGGTGGCACGCCGCTGCGTGCCATGGCGCGGAGGAGGGCGACGGCCGCCCGGGGCCGGCCGGCGCTGGCGTACCCGGACATGAGGGCCGTCCAGGAGACGACGTTCCGGTCGCGCATTCCGTCGAACAGGTGGCGCGCGAGGGCGGTGCAGCCGCAGCGGCCGTACGCCGCGAGGAGGTGGTTGGAGGAGGCGACCGAGGAGGCCGCCCCGAGCTTGAGGAGCTTGGCGTGGGTGGCGGACACGGAGGCGAGGTCGGAGGCGCCGCGAAGGAGGTGGATCAGCAGCGGCATCAGCGTGGCCGCGCCGGCGGCGGCGTTGGATGTCGCCGTCATGGAGACCGGTTGGTGCCAGTGTCATGTCGAGGATCGGAAGCGCTTGGGAGGTACCACGCCGGAGGAGCCGCTGCCGGGGACGGGGCGCGCCGGGGAAAAGCAGCGCCGCCGCCGCCGCCGCCGCGGCGCAGGCCCTAGTCCGTGTTTGCTTGGGGAGAACCGGAGAAGGCAACCAGATCGTTTCATTTCATTTGAAAATGACATATACTATAGAGGAATACTACACAAATACTCCCTCCATTTCCACACTATGACTTTTTTTTTAAGTTAAACTTCTTAAAGTTTTATCAAGTTTATAAAAAATATAGTAATATTTGTGATACCAAATTAGTTTTATTAAATCTAACACTAAATATATTCTGATAGTTTTTTATGTTGTATATTTTTCTATAAACTTAGAAAGAATTGACTTTAAAAAATATTAAAACGATTTATAATATGAAACGAAGGTATTAGTAGATTTGATGGTACAAAGAAAGTATTTTTCTCAGGCAACAATACTAGAGGAGGGTATATTATCAAAATTTTCATGCGAAAAATTGTAATAGATGTGAGGAGATAAAGTATTTTTTTACCATTAAAATGCTAAGCTAATTAGAAAAAAATCACTGTTGACGTGATTATTAAGGTTTAAATCCCGATGCCTAAAAATATTACACATGCGCATGTGTACTTATTATACCAAGGCTAAAGATTTGTTGTTTGTTTTTTCTTCTTTTGGGCGTGTGTAGTGTGTGTAAATATGTCTTTTGTGTAATCAAAAAATAATAATTCTCAAGTATGTTAGTGTGGTGTACTAGTGTAGTTGTGTATGTATATCTTTCATGTAACTGGAATAAAAACAAGTCGATTAAGATAAAAAATGGAGTCACTTTAATTCCTTTCTATTTTCCACCTTCTGCCTATTTTCAGAGTCCAGACTAAGGCCGTGTTTAGTTCCCAAGTTTGAACCCAAAAACATCACATTGAATTTTTCTACACACATAAACTTCTAACTTTTCCATCACATCGTTCTAATTTTAATCAAATTTCCAATTTTGGCGTGGAACTAAATACACCCTAAGGAAACGAAAATGGCATGACAAGGATAGAGGCATAGGACAGCTTACAAAAACGGTGCCTTTGTTTCGGGTAAATAGCTAATATGGTCCCTGAAGTTTCACTTCGGGCTCAGTTTAGTCTTTGAGGTTTCAAATTATCCAAATAATTCCTTCAAATTAATTATTTGGGTTAATATAGTCCTTGGACCCACAAAAAAGACCACGTGAGCATGCCAAGTCATCATCGCATGCAGCGGTATAAATGAAATGACCATTCTACCCTTATATATCATATAGAAAAGAAACAAAAGATGCAAACAAAAAAACAACAGGCCAACCTAGACCCAACATTGTTGCAGAGGGTGGCCAACAAAGGAATTTATACGATCAGTGTTGGGCTGCAGCAATCGTAAGTGACAATTCTAAAACGATCATACATGTGTGAAACATTTGTTTTCTTTTTTATATGGTATATAAGGGTAGAATGGTCATTTCATTCGTACTGCTGCATGCGGTGATGACTTGACATGCTCACGTGGCACTTTTTTTGGTCCAAGAACTATATTAACCCAAATGATTAATTTGGAAGACTTGTTTGGACGATTTGAAACCTCAAGGACTAAACTGAGCCCGAAGCGAAACTTCAGGGACCATATTAGCTATTCACCCCTTTGTTTCTTAATAAAAAGTCGGTTCCTTCAAACAACAAAACCATCAACTTCCTATATTAACCCTATATACTAATGGGCAAGGTAGCAGGGTGCCAGACCAATCTTGAGATCAAAACATGGACAGCCAAATTGTTCCCTATATATTCAATAACAGTTTTCAACTTGTTTTTGTGTTGTTCAGTTGCAAGCAAATAAGCACCACAATCATGAAAAACAATGCTCCAGTGTCACTTGAATTTACCATCCATAGTTCCACACACACACAAAAAGGAGAAAATAAAGGGTCTGGAATAGGACTCAAAGTGAATCATCTAGCTAATTCTCAAAAAAAAAAAAGTAAATCATCTAGCTACATTAAACAATAAACTGTTACAGTAACTGGAAAAGAAAAGGAAAGCAAAATAAGGAGATGATGTCCATAACTGCATGCACATCTCAAACTTTTAAAGTTGCAACACAAACTCACAAAGGCCAAAGATCATTCAGACACATGGAGCAATCAATGGTTGTACATGAAAAACTACAGCCAGGAATGGCCCCTGCTCATAACTCAAGCTTTCTCCAAGTTCAGGAGCACACAGGACCATCATTATCCTGGGCTGGAAGGCTTGATGCATTCTGCAATCAATCAGTAGCATCAACATGCCATGTTTGTTTTCAGTTACCACATGAACCAGAGCAGCAGGATATTTTCAACATTTCTTGCATTGATCACATGACAGCAATTGAACAAAAGGACAGAGCAGATAATAATTGAATATTTTCCAACCAAAGAACATGGTTTTCCGGCAAAAACAGCAATCAGTACTATAGAAACATCAATTTGGGAGGCTCAGTAATGAACTTAAAAACATCCGAAATCATGAAACAAATGTTCTATATATATGCAGTAAATTACAACTCACGCAGATGAATTATGAATATACAGAAGAATGATAATGTGGCTCAGGTGACGCAATTACTATTACAAAAGATAGTGGTGGATAGTTCAAATTCCTCAATACTAGCAACAAACCTGGCATCAACAGGAACTCTAATATGGCCATGTATGATTCAGCACTGCTCAAACAGACAAACTCAACAATATATCTCATTGGAAACCCGGCAAGAACTTGAGAATAAATAAGACCAAGAACTTAGAAGCACTTCCGGTGGACAATCGCTGGGCCTGATTCGTCATATTCAGCCTTGGAGATCCACATCTGTTGCACAATAAACATCATAGTGCGCTGTTAATTAGTACCAAGAACACGGAAACATTTTAATTCATTTTTTTAAAAAAAATAGTACCAAGAACATGAAAAAAAAATCATATTTGTGCAACCAAAACATGTAGCCTTTCATTTCTCTTCTTCCTGAATGAATTGGCAAGTTTCAAAAAGAGAGAAAAATTCATATTATAAGTCGATTTGATATTTTTCCTAGTCAAACTTTTTAAAGTTTGACCAGTTTATAGAAAAATATAACAATATTTTCAACACAAAACAAACATATTGTGAAAATATATCCAATGTTATATTTAATTAAACTAATTTGACCTAGTAGATGTTACTAAATTTTTCTATAAACTTAGTCAAACTTAAATAAATTTGATTAGAAAAAAAGTCAAAGCGACTCATAGTATGAAACGGAGGGAGTAGTAATCAAAATTTTACCTGTTGGAAGGTGCTAAGGGAGGCAAGGATGGATCCACCAATCCAGACACTGTACTTCCTCTCCGGAGGCGCCACCACCTTGATCTTCATGCTGCTCGGCGCCAGCGCGGTGATCTCCTTGCTCATCCGGTCCGCGATCCCGGGGAACATGGTCGATCCACCACTCAGCACGACATTGCCGTACAGATCCTTCCTGATATCCACATCGCACTTCATGATCGAGTTGTAGGTCGTCTCGTGGATCCCGGCCGCCTCCATGCCGACGAGCGACGGTTGGAACAGCACCTCGGGGCACCTGAACCTCTCGGCCCCGATGGTGATCACCTGGCCATCGGGCAGTTCGTAGCTCTTCTCGACCGAGCTGCTGTTCTTGGCGGCGGCGGCGGCGTTGAGCTCCTGTTCGTAGTCGAGGGCGACGTAGGCGAGCTTCTCCTTGATGTCCCTGACGATCTCCCGCTCGGCGGTGGTGGTGAAGGAGTAGCCTCGCTCGGTGAGGATCTTCATCAGGGCGTCGGTGAGGTCGCGGCCGGCGAGGTCGAGGCGGAGGATGGCGTGCGGGAGGGCGTAGCCTTCGTAGATCGGCACGGTGTGGCTCACACCGTCGCCGGAGTCCAGCACGATGCCTAATTAAAACAAGATGAACAATTTTATTTTCTTTTTCAAATCTCACTAATATGAAGGACAAAATTTTGAAATTTATGAACGGCAACAGGATGGTTACCACTTACTACTATCTTTTACTCTTTGTAACTAAATATTTGTAATAGCTACTAAGAAAGAATATAACTAAACGAAAGTGCTTTTAATAATAAATTTAGTAATATTTTTCATACATTAATAATTTAAAATTTTGAGGTTTGACTGTACGTATTTTAGGACGTCATCTACTCCCTCCGTTCTAAAATATAATAATATAGAACCGGATGGAATATTTCATACTCCCTATACTAGAAAATATCAATATCCAATCCATCCTAGATTCTTATATTTTTAGACGAAGATAGTATTTAAGGACAACCCCCCTCAAAAAAAAAAAAAGAAATAAATCAAATTTCGAAAATGAAATTTTAAATTTGCGTTACCTGTGGTGCGGCCACTGGCGTAGAGGGAGAGCACGGCCTGGATGGCGACATACATGGCGGGGACATTGAAGCTCTCGAACATGATCTGGGTCATCTTCTCCCGGTTGGCCTTGGGGTTGAGCGGCGCCTCGGTGAGCAGCGCCGGGTGCTCCTCGGGCGCCACCCGGAGCTCGTTGTAGAAGGTGTGGTGCCAGATCTTCTCCATGTCGTCCCAGTTGCTCACGATCCCGTGCTCGATCGGGTACTTGAGCGTCAGGATCCCCCGCTTCGACTGCGCCTCGTCCCCGACGTATGCGTCCTTCTGCCCCATCCCCACCATCACCCCCGTGTGCCGGGGGCGACCCACGATGCTCGGGAACACCGCCCGCGGCGCGTCGTCGCCCGCGAACCCGGCCTGAATTTTGGATTATTATTATCAATGGTTTATCGTTGCTGTTGTTGTTGTTTACTGAATTTTTTGAACGCAAGAACATAAGGTATGGTTTGTTGTTGTTGTTGTGATTTGTGAGAGGTGGTTAATTGGATTGAGTTGATGATGATGATGACCTTGACCATGCCGGTGCCATTGTCGCAGACAAGGGGCTGGATGTCCTCGCCGTCAGCCATTTGATTCTTCAGAGATTATATATCTGTTGATTCAGGACAAAATGGACCATGATCTATTAGTTCCAATGCAGTAAGACTATATCGATTGATTAAGAACAATATGGACAATCTATTTATTTAGTAGTAACAAGGCAATGCAGTCATGATCACTGAAGAATTAAAATGGATGTTTTTGTCATCACAAATGTTAAACTTGATCCTATACATCTAGGGTATAAATCAAGTCCTAACATATTCTAGTTTTTTTATGTAATCAAGTCCTAACAAACTGTATGAACACACCACAGCATGTAAGCTTCAGCTTAATTGATTAGCCTTGGAAAGATGGCAGTGCAAGAAGATTATAATTTGGCCTTATGAACTGGATTCGAACTGCAGTCAAATATTACATTTACATGGCCAAAATATAGCACAAAGAATCTGAGAAAGAAAGGCACAAACAGATTCAAGAATATTTTTGGTTGTTCTTACCGGGAGATTGCCTGCCTGAAACCTCCACCGAGATGGAGATGGAGGAGGTGCAGAAGAACTAGGCAGGAGAGCTTAGGGCTCTGCTTGGATTTGTCTCCTTTTTATATGCACATATTTTCTTTTCAACTTTCTTGATTCTGTTTTGAAATAAAAAAAGGGTAGAAATAGAGCAATATATTTGGCTGCATTACAGTGTGCTCTAATCCGTTCTCTCTATTTTTTTTGGTATAGAAACTTGTTTGGGATTTTTCTTTTTAAAAAAAGACCTATATTTTTACGTAGAATTTTTCCCAAAATGATAATAAGTTTACCACTCTTTATTTCTAAAATGAAAATGTACATTGTGTGTTTTTTTAGTTTACCAGCTATTTACGCCACATCTAAAAATATAATGGATCCATCATGGTGGCCAACTGTTTTGCTGGATTCTTTAAATTGAAACACTATTCTTTTGAGAGGAAAATTAAAGGGTGTTGATCCTACCAAAATAATTGAAAAAGGGAACCTTTGCTATGCCATCTCATGGCCAGCAAAGAATCTCCTACTTGGCAAATAATTTGATCAACTTCCATTGTCATAGTGGAGGCCATGAATGGCCAGAATGGGCAACTGTTTTCAAATTGGCCTGGCACACACAGCAATGGTTATGATAGATTCAACCAATGTTGACCAATATACGGGTCGAATTAAAATGCTAACAAATACGGTTTGCAAAGATTCTCAGCTTTCTTTTAATAAAAGGAAGGAGACCCCAATCAAGCAAAAGATCAAAAGATTGTTTCTCCAGCAAGGAATTATTAGTGGTCCTAGATGAAGGGAAAAGGAGCAGCAAACACAGAAGAGAGTCTCTTTTGAGCAGATCAACAGAGGAGGCTGGAATGAGCTGGTGATGAATAGGAAACGTGGGCCGCACGATGGATGACATGGAGCGCACAGAGTCGTCAGATTTGATATAAACATGCAGAGGGGCGTCCTCTGATTTCTTGGCTGGATCCTGCTTGGAACTGGGCCTTCCAGTTGGCCTAGCTCATTTAATTACCACTATTCATTTTTAGATAATAATAATAATTACCACTGCTCATTTTCTATGTAGATGCACCGTGCACGCAATTAACGCACGTTACTCACAATTGGCTACCCTTTTATTGCCTTGAGGTCATACTTTCATGCTAGTACTTTGCTAATATCAGAGGGTTCACATTATTCAATATCAAGGTGAAAACCGGTCCTATCGGTCGAAAACCGAACGAAACTAGTAGAATCGAAAAACAAAGACGACTTTCAGTCCGTAAGAAATTTATGATATCAGAAATCAAGGTCCATGTTCCCATCTTGGATGTAGTTTGAACCAAGCATGCCAGCATTACTAAGCTTGAGATTTGATGAACTATTGTGTTCTTTCATTTGATTACTGTGTTCCTGTTGTTCCTGAAATTACTATGAGCACACAAGCAGTACTTCGTTCAGCTTGTGCAGAGATCGCAGAAGGCAATCTCAGCAGTTTATGCATGATTGCACAGGACGCTTTCTTGCCAATGGCAGGTGAACACAGGAGGGGCAGTGTGGCAGCCAAAGGTACCCAAAACATCCAATCTTCATTATAATAGACGGGCACGGCGGTAAATTCTGAGTAGCAGGTCGTTGATATATCAAGCTAGGCCGATCCAATTTCCTCTATGTAAGAACAATGAGAACTGAGACCGAAAAAATTAGGCCCCAAGATGATTGCTCAAAATGCATATAAAAATGCAAAACCAAGCCAAAAATGATTACGCTCTACTCCTCTCAACATTAGTGAGGCACACATCCTAAACAAGCACATCGGTGAACGAACGAGACAAACGTCAGGTAATATATGCAGGGGATCAATCTTTGGCTCCTGAGTCATCTTGTCGTTGGCTGGCCTCTCCTGAAGTTCCCTGCAAAACAGCAAAAGGGTAAATCTTGTCAGTCTTTGGAACAGGAGAATATTTACAGGATTTTTACATGGGTTAGTCTTCCCACAAAAAATCTTTGAAACTCCATTCCAATTTCCAAAGGAGGACTTAGGACATGGGACTAGCTAAACTTTCTCTGTTCATGGTTGTTCGGGCCAAGGGAAATACCTGAACACGTGCAAGAAGATCCTCTAGTTCGGCTAATATATCTGAGAAAGGAGGTCGGTTGGATGGAATGCCTTCCCAACATCTCCGCATCAAGTCTAATAGCTGGGGATGAGCATTTTCTGGGAGCCCTGGGCGCAATCCCTTGTATAACAGTAAAATGTCATGCTTAGTGCATTTCACAATGGGCGTATTATGGTAAACTGTAACAAGTAATAACTGACAGCATATTATTTGAATAGAAGAAACCTGCATATGCTACACACCTGTCTCACACCTACAGCTGCTTGGAGAGGGGTCATGGTATTATAAGGGATCTAAAAATACCAGAAACGAAAATTTGACAAGCCTTAGCAAACACTAATAAATGCACAATGTAGATAATTGTGTCTCTTCACAGAAAATCGTGTACCTTGGACGTTATGAGCTCCCAAAGCACAATAGCAAAACTGAACACATCAGCTTTGTTATCATAGGGTTGATGATTTATGACCTAGCAACGCCGCATCGAAGATATATTAGCAAGGAATATAATATTCTTGTACCTTTAGTAGACAATATAAACTAGGTAACTATAGAATGTCCATGCAAACTACAGAACATTCAGATTATTGAAACAAAGAAAAAGTCTTGTCTAGCACCTTGAACCTTAAGACAAAGCATCTAAAACCCTGAGCTTTACAATACGTTCATATAACCTCCCAAAGTGATTTTTGCCTAAGTGGAATACACATTGGATGGGTTTTGCCCATGTCGCGTAAATGCTGAACATACGTATCAAAATCTCCACTTACTATCTCCTCTTTATCCCAATTCATTCTCTCACCAAGGGAACAAGGACTGAAAAAATGCTTGTATGACCAAAAAAAAAGATCAAACTTTAGGACCAATGATTGAGAAAGCACCAACATGTCATCCTACTTGGACAAAACCGCTTGTTCAAGTTTCCGTATAGGCAAAACCACCATACAAAACAACTTAAGGGGAGGGGCAGTTGTTTATAGATGGTATTGCAAAGTTTGGGGGGTTACAAACTAACCTTTAAAATTCGAGGTGCTCGGTGGACTTCCATTAAAAGCTTAAGGGGTGGTATGCCTATAGGGAAATTTCCATGAAACAACAAACTATTCTGAACTATTCACTTTAGCAGTACAATATATTATATTGTGATAAGCATCCAAGTTTTGTTTTCGAGACTTCAAAAACAGTAACAATATTAGGCACACTTGAAACTGAATTACTTTGCTCCAGCAACAGAGTTGTACCTCTGGTGCCATCCATCTGTATGTTCCAGTTTCAGCTGTCATGTTACCTCCTTGATCCTGAAAACGAGCTACACCAAAATCTGCCACTTTCACAACCTAGAAAAATAATAATGAAGTTATTTATCAGTTCATAGATATTTTCTCTCAAGTGCAAAGCAGATGGCTCCTGCACATACAAAAACACAAATGAAGCATGATTATATTGCATCAGTACCATTTGCCCACTTGCATAAACTATACTATCTTGTCTTATTTTTTCCCCTCATATGTTCATCAATAAAATGTTAAAGATTATAGGCTACGTACATGATCTTTGTCCATTAGAAGGTTTGCACTCTTTAAATCTCTATGGATAATACCCCTCTGATGCAAGTAACACATCCCTCTGCATACATCAACTGCAAACTTCAGCAGAGTTGGAAGGTCCAAGACATTATGCTGCTTGTGCACAAAGTCATACAGGCTTCCTCCAGACATGTATTCTGAAAGATATAAAAGTAGATGATGAGCATTAGTAGGAATCTTCCAGTCACCAAGATATAAATTAAGCAAGAACCCGCTCTTTGTCACATAATAACAAGCATAATTATATGGAATTAAAAATTACATCTCACCAATATTGTGAAATTAATTAGCATTGTGTAATAATTATTCAGCACATGCTTTATTTTTAGGAACAAACTATTCTTTGCAAATTCCCCGGTGAGAACCAATTGATGTCATAAATCTTACCAGTAATTATGCAAAATTGTGGTGGTTTTGTGCATGCACCAATGAATCGCACAACATTAGTATGCTGAACTTCCCTGAAAACAAGTATGGGAGATCAAGGCAAGGCATAAATATTTAGTTATTGGTACTTGCATGAACTGGGTAATTTCAGACATTCTTAATCTAAGAGCAGTAATATGCTCATGGCTAAGAATTGGATATGCTTAAACTATTCATTCACAATGGTAAATGCTAAAAAAGAATTATATAAACAAAACACCTTATTATAATGTTAAATACCTTAGAATATATACTTCCTGTGTGAACTCATTCCAAACATTCTTATTCAAATGCTCAGATCTTAGAATTTTAACAGCAACATCCTCACCGAGATAAGTCCCATGATACCTTGACATAAGGATAACACACCATAAAAACAAAGTGCAATAAATACAGTGATAAAACAACTCAGCAGTATACAATTGACTTACAAATCCCCACAAGATCCAGAAGCAATCATCCCTCCCATCTTCAGCAGTCGTTTGTCAATTTCCCATTCACCACCTTTTACTTGGAATGGCAGTGTTCTTTCTGCAGCTGATGAGTGAGATGAACCTGACCATGATCCCTGCATTTTCAGAGAGCACCAGCAAATATGCTGTTAGATTTGTCAAATGGAACAAGACATTGTATCATGCATCAACTCCTTGCAAAAATACAAAATAGGATTATATCCGCATGGAAAATGCTTATTGCTTAGACGATCATAATATATATCACAAGTTACCTCATTCCTTAAAATGGACGCTTCCAGTGCCTTGTGCAAACCATCAGTGTCCTGATCAACCATTGCAACGTTGGCATCATTTTAAAAAAACAGTTCATAATAAAAGAACCAGAATGGCTGGCCAACTCATTGGCATAAAACTTCACAGAATTGGTTGTTTAGACAGTATATCGTTGGTTGTCATACCAGACTGCTAACCAGCCGGTAGGTGGTTTTCAGGGCAGAATGGAATACTATTCCCCCACCCCCAAACACACATACCCCCCAAAAAATGAGACACTCC